TCAAAGCTAAGAAAATTTATCGATTACATCCAAACAGCAGGATACGTTTTCTTCTATGCAAAATTCATCAGTTACATCTGAACAGCAAGATACTGCTTCTTCTATGCAAATTGCTGATCCTTTTCGAACAAACGATGTTCCTTTTATGCACAACATTGAAAACATAGATTTTTCAGATAACAATGATGCCATCAATAGTTATCATGACAATGAAGATTCTTCTTTCTCATCATCTCTCAGTAGTTCTTTCATTGATGAGACATTTCAAGATCGTTTGATCACATGTTTTGTGAATAATGGTTTAACACATGTGCAGTGTAATAATATTTTATCTGTTCTTCGAACACACACATGTTTTTCATCTTTACCAAAAGATGCTAGAACTCTTTTAAAAACTCCACGAAAATCTGTTGTCGATCCAAATTAGATCCGGGAAACTATACTCACTTCTCTCTTGAAGAAAAAATTGTTAAAATATTATCACGTCTTTCTCCGACACATATACCTCCTGAAATAGATTTTAATACCGATGGATGTTCTTTAGACAAGTCAGGAAATATTCACATTTGGCCAATACAATGTCGTCTTGCAAATGTGAAGAATTATTCGAAGCCAATAATAATAGGAATATATAGCGGTCCCGCGAAACCACATAATCCCAATTTATTTTTTGAAAGATTTGTTAGTGATGTTAATGATATAATAAACAAGGGTGGTATATTTTTTGGTGAAAATAAAATATCCATACGTCTCAGATGTTTTATAGCTGATGCACCAGCTCGTGCTTTTATCCTTAATCATAAAGGTCATACAGCGGAACAGCCATGTTCAAAATGTAAAATTTCTGGTATACGATGTGAAAGAACATATTCTTTTTGTGGCATCGATCATCCTCTTCGAACAGATGAAGAATATGTTACAAGTATAGATGACGATCATCATAAAGACGGCAAAAGTTCTTTGTCGATGTTACCTATCAGTATGGTGTCACAGGTTCCTTTTGAATACATGCATCTCGTATGCTTAGGAGTTATGAAAAAACTTTTATCCGCATGGGTATGCGGTAAATATACTCGGTTCTCAAAGTTATCAGCAAATTCCATTGCTATTATATCTAAAAGATTAGAGAATCTTAATAAATATTGTCCATCAGAATTTGCAAGGCGTCCTAGAGCAATTCAATCATTTACTAAATACAAAGCTACTGAATTGCGTCAATTTCTATTATATACAGGTCCAGTCGTAACTTTTGGTGTGTTAAATCCACATATATTTACTCATTTTTTGTTTCTCCATACTGCTATACGAATATTAATTTCCACTTCGCCATCAAAAGCATATTTGAACTTTGCTGAACTTGCTTTAAAAAAATTTGTTGCTCGATGTGAGAACCTTTACGGTCTATCATTCCTGTCGTATAATGTGCACGGTCTTCTTCATCTCACAAATGATGTTTGGTAATTAGGTCCTCTTGATTCATTCTCTGCTTTCCCTTATGAAAATAATGTCATTTTTCAA